CAACCTTAATGATTCTGTGATTCTGTGAGAGCGCAATAGGCATGGTATGGTTTAGCTACAGGTGTATTCCTTTTGCTTTCCCAGGGTGAAGAAGGGGACCAAGGACCCAGTGGTGAAGTGGGAGCTCAAGGCCCTCCAGTAAAGTATTTCCTTTTAAATAGTGTTATACACTTACTTCATTATGTCATAGCTTTTCTTATTATTGTAAGAAAACAGATAGTATAAAATCTCCACACACCTTTCTCTTTATTCTGCCATATTGTCTATGAGTAAAAATAGAATTATTTAAATCCCTCCAAAAAGCTACATTATCGCTTGGCACTAAGCTCTAAAATAGTTCTATGGAAAAGTTTATTTTAAAAAGTATTTAATGTCCTAAAAGTTGTGTTGTGCTTAATTTGTACAAAAAGTTGTTTGGTGAGTTTTTTTTTGTTTGGTTGGAATGTTTTCCCTTAAGTTTTTTGCATTTTTGCATGGCAAAGAAGCATCCTTCAATCACACCTATGATTTTGGAATTATTTTCTTGTCCTGCTTCACTTGACTGTGTTCAGGCACACACCTTCTCAGCTTGTTTCCTTGTGAGGAGCTCTTCTTATGGTTACTACAGCTGAACAGACAATAAGGAACAGAATAAAATGGTCATTCTAAGTAAGAGAAATAATCATAGGCATAACAGGTTTAATATCTATAGTTTAATTTCTGATGGGGTCTTATGCTTATTTTCTTAGGTGTGAAACTATTTCTTTAATGCCATTGGTGTCCAGATGTGATGTTATACAGGAGCTTACCTTTGATGCACATGACATCCAAATCCTTAATTAAAAAATTCTTTATAAGAATTATATTCTCTATAAGAATTATTGTTGTCTAATAAGACAACATAAATCTCCAGATTAGAACTAGAGAAAGATAAGGAAAGAACAGAGACTAAGTAAAGGAAAGGATGTAATCATTCTTATGTTTGATGCTGAAAAAAGTATCCCTGGCATGCTGGTGCAGAGAAAGTACTTGTGTAAGATGCAACTCTGCTGTCTGAAAGGCCTGTGGGGACCAATTCATTTAACTCAGTTTGGTAAAGTTCTTTAATCACTGTGCAATAACACAGCGGAATTAAAAACCAATTAGAGATTGACTTCCTGCCCCCCCCCCCTTTTAAATGCATTACTTATTTCACTTCACTGTTTCACCAGTTGATGGCCTTACAAACAAGCTTTAAAATAATTTTTCTCGTTAAAATGTAGGATTCATAATATGAAGAAAGTGATGTCAGATAGACAACCTATGGAAAAGAGGATAAACACAGATGGAGAGGCTGTAGACTCTTGTATTTTCTTGTGTGTGTCTGACATAAAGGAATGGAAGGCTCAGATCCATAGAGGTGATTAGGAATCCAGTCTCCACAGCAGTACCTACAATTCAACACTTTTATGTAATGCATTGACAGAAAGACTTACATAAGATAGCCACCTCTGGGAGAGGTGTTGCTTTTGATAGAAAGTAGTGGGTACTACAATGTGCCTACTTCCATCTCTGATCTTGGGACAAGAATTAGACTGTGGGTCTCTCCCTTGTTGGGCTGCTGTGGTCACTGTTGCATTATCATGATTTTTCTCATGCTTTGGGCTGAAAAAGCTTTAAATGTTCTGTGCAAGATTCCATCTAACTTCATTAGGAGCAGGTAAAAGGGCTGCTCATCTAGAGTCTGGTTAAGGAGTAGGTTTGCCTATGCTGCATTTAAGTGCCTGTAGCTGTTTCATTAACACAGCTGTAGTGCATTCTTCTTGTTACAGGACAAACACATTGTGGCTGAGGAGACATGTCATGTACTTTCAGCCTCTCAGGAAGAGAAAAAATTGAAGCCAAATATTTCACAAGACTGTGTTTTGAAGGGGGTGGTGTTATGATACATCCTGCTGCACTAGGATGTCTATTCAGTCCAGCCTCTCAGGTGTGGTGGGCATATAAATTTAGGACTTGTATTCTCAAAAACCTTGCCCAATTTTGTCTACCTCTAGAGTTCTATAAAGTCTCATGGTACCTTTCTCCTGCACCTGTCCTGCACCCAACTTAAGACAACTTAGCACTTTTGCAAATCTGGCCTTCATGTGTTCCTCTCACCCAAGCTGCACAGGGAGAATGCTTCAGCTCTGTGGTAATCAAGAATAGAAATCAATGGGTTTTTTTCAGTGCTTAAGGCATATTTGTGGTCATATAATTCAACCTGATAGTTTTGCTATTGTTTTAAAAATTCTTGAATTAGTAAAATAGCAAATTACCATATAAATTAAATATTCTAATACAGAAATAGCTGGATTTCTCCTTTTATACTAAGAAAATAGTAAAATAAGCATAAAGTAAGCATGTAGAACTCAGAGTTTTCTGTCTGAAAACTAGGACAGTTCTGATGAAAAGATTTAAGCATAATTTGAATATACTTTTCATTTTCAGGGCATCCTAGGTATCAGAGGTATAACTGGTATAATGGGACCTAAAGGTACCAAAGTGAGTATTAACTTTTCTTTCCATAAAATGGCCTGGTTAATAAAATGTGCACCCCTGAATGTTTTTAAAGCTTATTTAAATTTCTCTCTTTTTTTTAACCTGCATTTTCTCTCTCCCATCAGTGGTATTTCCATAGCTACTGTACTTCTAGTTAGGAAGAAAGGCAGCTTGATCCTTCTGATTAATTAAGTACACGTACTCTTCACACTTTTCCTTCTGATCCTCAGATTTACACTAGCTTGGCATGTGTGCAAGTATGTAGTTAGCAAGATAGCAAGTTACAGCATTTATAAACTATAGCATGTTTTATTTAAACCTAAAATTTATTAAGTAGTCCCTCGTGGGATTTGCATCTTCCTGAAGCCTTTTGCTTCCACTGTCCCGGTTTTTGTCAGGATTTTTTGTTGAGCATTTGTTCTTTTTCCATTCCTTCTTTCTCTTGCATCTTTTGTGTCTTAAATTGCTGCCAGTGGGATTTATGTCTATATGAGCTCTGACTTTGGGTAATTTTCCTGCTGTTCACCAAAGTGTTTCTAACTGTTATTTCAAAACTGACTGTTACATTTCTATTCTTATTATCTTGCTAAATCTATATGGTGACAATTTCTGGAAGGACTAAAATGTAGCAATCATGCCATTGTTTCCTTCTCCAGAAATGAAATCACAGAAACATTTTTTTGTGATCATCTATGTTCAGAAACAACATCAAATTTGCCCTGATTATGTATCTTTTAATGAATGATCCATCCTAACCTCTTAGACACATTTGCTAAGCTATTATTATCTTACTTTGCTTTTCTGTCCTTTTTTGTGTCTTCTAATTCTTCCTAGTTATTTGCCTATGTTTTTGTCCTGTTTTGTCTATTTGAAATACTTAGTACATCTGTTTGACAAAGGAGATCCTTATTCTCTGTAAATCTTACTGAAAATATTTTTTTTCCCCTCTCTATTTAAAATTACTTACAGGGTAGCAATTGCATTGTTTCCTTGCAACGTATATGATAAAAATAGCTGCACTGCACTTCATGATTTCTCTTCACATTTTGATTCTGTTCTATTATTTGGCAAAGGAATAGTTTTGTTAAGGAAGATGCAGACACTTTGTGAAGTAGCATGAAACGGTCTACCTCTTTGCTGTCTGATTTTTTTTTTTTTTTTTTTTAAAGAATGAACTGAATGTCATTTTTTGACTGACATTTTTCCATAGTTAAAAATATTGGCTTTCATAACTCCACAAAAACCAAAATGTATTAAAAAAAAAGTTTGCCAAAATTCCTTCATGTTTTTGTTGTTTCTTTTTTCTTTTTTAAAATTAGAGCTATAAAAACATTTCAACTGTAAAGAATTTGCAGGGAGCATAAATTGTTAGTGTTCCAGCCCTTCATTTTAATGTCTTGTATTATCTACTTGTTTTGTAGGGAGCTCGTGGACTTGATGGTGAGCCTGGTCCTCGAGGTCTTCCTGGTGCACCTGTAAGTAGAGTGTGTGTTAGCCAAACACTTCCCAGGGTCTACTTAGATTCAGAGTCCTGAAACTTTGTGGCTGTGAATCAGAAAAGCCTCTGATTAATCCAAGTCTATTGAATAAATATGACAGTGATGTCAAGTCCAGAATCTCTTACTGTCCCCAAGGAATTATAGAATCATAGAATCTTTGGGTTGGAAGGGACCTTTAAAGGTCATCTAGTTCAACCCCTCTGCAGTGAGCAGGGACATCTTCAACTAGATCAGGTTGCTCAGAGCCTCATCCAACCTGACCTGGAATGTTTCCAGCGATGGGGCATCTACCACCTCTTCGGGCAACCTGTGCCAGTGTTTCAATACCCTCAGTGTGAAAAGTTTCTTCCTTCTATCTAGTCTAAATCTACCCTCTTTTAGTTCAAAACCATTACCCCTTGTCCTACTGCAACAGGCCCTGCTAAAAAGTCTGTCCCCATCTTTCTTATTAGCCCCCTTGAAGTACTGGAAGGCTGCAAGAAGGTCTCCCTGGAGCCTTCTCTTCTCCAGGCTGAACAACACCAACTCTCTCAGCGTGTCCTCATAGGAGAGGTGTTCCATCCCTCTGATCATTTTTGTGGCCTTCTCTGGACCTTGGACTGGCAACAGGTCCATGTCTTTCCTGTGCTGAGGGCTCCAGAGCTGGACGCAGGACTCGAGGTGGGATGTCACCAGAGCAGAGGGGCAGAATCCCTTCCCTGGCCCTGCTGGCCATGCTGTTTTGGATGCAGCCCAGGAGATGGTTGGCCTTCTGGGCTGTGAGCACACATTGCTGGCTCATGTCCAGCTTTTCATCCACCATGACCCAAAGTCATTCTCAGCAGGGCTGCTCTTGATCCCTTCATCCCCCAGCCTGTATTGATACCGGGGGTTGCCCCGACCCAGGTACAGGACCCTGTACTTGGTCTTGTTGAACCTCCTGAGCTTCACATGAGCCCATTCCTTGAGCTTGCCCAGATCCCTCTGGATGGCATCCAGTCCCTCCAAGTGCCTTAGCATAGCTAACGTGTAGATGAACACATTTTAGCCTCTTTAATATTTTATTGTTACCTCTTCATTCTGAGTGCTGCTGTGCATTAGGGTGGCTTGGAATTTTTCAAGTTTTAAATGGGAAAATATTCATTCATTGGAACAAAACCTGTACAGGGCAATTTGTGGCCTTTTGCTTGTGGTGTGGTAGGTTGGTGGGGTTTTTTTTGTGTGGTGATTTTTTTTAATTCTTCCCTGCTCCCTGCAGTCCCACCTGGAATTTATGCTTGGAATAGCCAGTAATTGTGTGGCTTGAAGAAGTGAGTGCAACATCCTTTGCTTAGATGCTCTTGGATTCCTAGGGGATGGCTTGAGCTGTGTTTTATAAAATGTAGCTGTCAGCTGCGGTCTTAAGATGGTGCATTTTTAAATATAGTATGAGTTTAAGATGTCTGCTTTAACCAACTGTGAATTGTACTCTTGTTGTTTTACTGGAGGTTTTAGCTAGTGAATACAAGGAAGTTTATTCTGATTGATTTTATTGCTAACATAATCTTTTTTTTTTTTTCCCCTGTAGGGGGATCAAGGACAGAGAGGTCCACTGGGAGAGGCAGGTCCGAAGGGAGAAAGGGTGAGCACAGACAAATTTCAACTCATGTTGACTTGCAAACATTGGTTGCTTATAACATGTAAATGTACAGCATAATTGGTACTCTCAAAGTAATGCATATCTGAATAGGTATATGTTGACATTCTTTCCATCTGCTATTTCAATTTGTTTATTTTCATTTTTTAAAATTATTATTATTCTTAGGGCCCTCAAGGTACAAGAGGAATAAATGGTCTCCCTGGGCCTACAGGAGAGTCTGTATGTATATTTGATTTCTTCATTTACTTGATGTCATGCTAATTTGTGTATCAGGGTGCTTAGGTGAAATCTCTCCAACAATAAATTTTTTTTTCCTGGTTTTTTTTTTTCTTTGAAGGGCTTACCAGGAGTTGATGGCCGGGAAGGGATCCCTGGAATGCCTGGAGCAAAAGTAAGGCACAGTTGGCCTATATCTGGGCTTTAGTAATGCCCTAGATTTCTTCACTCATTTGTGGCTTTTTATTGTGCTACTGCCCATGGCTTTATGCACATTATGAGAGTAATGGAATGAACTTTCCTATCCTACAATTCCAAAAGTACTCCAGCTTTGTGTTCCAGAAATAAAATTTTCCCTTTTGTTTGATTTGCATAAGTAGCAATTTCAAATGTTTTTCAGGGTGAACCAGGAAAACCCGGAGCTCCAGGTGATGCAGGGCTTCAGGGACTGCCAGTAAGTACTGGTATTTTACCTTTGAAAGATAGGCTCTGTTCAAACCACAGAAAGGCCATGTATAGGTTAGTTTGTTGCTGATGTTGAAGTAATTTAAGTGAAAACCTAAACAAAAGGCCCAGGAAGAGTATGTGTAGTGCAAAGGGAAATTCTGATATGTGTATCTGAAACTTTTGAACAAAATCCTAAATCTCCTCATGGTACTGTAGGGAGGAACTCAGTCTTACAAAATGTTTGTGGCCAGTATGCAATTCTTTCGGGTTTCTCATATCTGAGATCCTGTGGATGTTATGGTGTGACACCACAATTAGAGCTGGTCTCATTGTACTGACTAGGGCCAAACCTATACCCAGGGTGAGCTGGAAGAGCTGACCTGCTAGTCTAACATACCTTAGATGAACAATCGTCTCCTTTTGATACTCTTCTGCTCAGAACATCTGGAATGCATTACGCTCATGCTTCTTTCGGGGGCGGGGGGGGGAGGGAAGTTTTTACTGTATCCCCTGTGCTGGAGTTATAGGGAATCAGTAGTGCTTTATGAACTCTTTTAGAAGGTAATCCTTGCACATTAACTGAATAAGTTTGAAAACTGTGCCAATTGTCAAAGGCTAAATGAAAACTTCTTTGAAACACTATTCTATAGGAGTAATTGCTGTGAGGGTATAGTGAAGGAGCTGTATTAGAACTGGAAGTAAATGTGTATTATGAAGTGAGTTCTTAAGCTCAGAAGAAAATTTGGTAAAAGCATACTTGTTACGGGCTATTGGACACAAGTGAGGAGGGGATGAAATATATGCAAAAAGTATCTGTTAAACTCTCTACCTCCAGTCTCAGAATACTGGGACTGAGAATCTATTTCTAGTCTAAGCCAGAAAAAGCCACAACTCCTCACTTTTCCATGCTCCTTTTCCAGTTTATGAAGTATGAATAATACTTCTTATCTGTTACTTTATAAATAGAAAGCATTCAAGCTTGTTCTGTTACTGGATAAGAGGTGCTTCAATATCAAGTAAAAGGACTAGAAATACTTTAACATGAGAGATGTTTTTTAACACCATTTTCAATCCCTTTACAACAAATGAACACTTTAAATGTTAATTCTTTCAGGGTTTACCAGGCTCTCCAGGTGTGAAAGTCAGTCCTGTGCCATAGGTAAATCATCTTGAGGACGGACTTTCTTATAATACTGTATTTGTGCTTATGAAGTTTTAAAGTATTCAGTGAAATTATATTAACTTTCTGTGGTGGTAAGAGACAAGCTTTTGCCTGAAAGAATTAAATATATTCTTTTATCAACTCTAGTCCTGTGCTTTTATATGATTCTTTTGCTACATGATGTAGTTTTCATGATTCCAGGCATTAAATAATACCTAAAAAAAGGCCTTTTCCTTTTAAATTTGTGGAAGTCATTGCTAGAGGAGGCATGTGACATGGATGCCTTACTGCAGTTTGAAATGAGTGATCTCATAATAAGAATAATATTTTTAGCTACCCTAAATTGATTGAATCACAGAAATGGTCATCTTTATTTATGTACCACAAAATTGCAGTGTCAATTCCAGTTAATTTAAAAAAAAAACACCTGTATGATTGAGACTATCAAATGTTTCGGACAATAATGCTTGAGTTTAGTTCAAAGTAATTAAAAAAGAAAAACAGATTGAGACATGAATTTCTTGTGAAATTATATGGAATGACATTATCCCGTGATTTGAGAGCAGCAATCAAGTCTATTTGGGATTTGTCAGTATGTAAACAACAAAATAACTGAAATCAGGCTTTTGAAAAATCAGATAAAAGGAATTAGGTGAAAGTTAAATGAGAACCAAAATACAGGTGGAAGTTAAAAAGTGAATACAGGCTGATTTTTTTTTTTTTTTTTTTAAGACCTTATTGATTTCCTTATTTTTTATTTTAAAATGAAACCATTAGCCAAGCCAATGTTTTTCATCTTTTGCCCAACAGGGTAACAGAGGTCCCCCTGGGGTGCCAGGTTTGATGGGAAATTCTGGTAAACAAGTAAGATCACTAATCTTATTCAAAAGACCTAGAAAAATGAAAAGTTTTGCATTGTGCCAAAAAAACCCTTTTCCAACTTGTTGCATTCGTCCTATCCCCAAAACAGGGTGAACAGGGGCCAGAGGGAGAAGCAGGTCCAACAGGACCCCAGGGACCACCAGTAAGTATTGAATAAATTTCTAAATGACTGTATGTAATATTGCAGTGTCTCAAGTTATGGTTGCTGAAGCTAACCAGGAGGTAAAAATATTATTCAGCACAAGTGCTAATTTTTAAGGTAAATTTTCTTTTATGCTCTTTTCTTTAACTGTTTCAGCCTCTTAAAGAAGCTTGTGCTGTGGTGTATATTACAAGGCTTAGCTGTATATTATGAGATTTTGAACTTTGGACCAATCATTCAGAACATGAATTTTTTTGGCTAGGGCCTATTTCTAATGCACATAATGTGAACAGTGAGGCAAGGTATGAAGGAAAGGTAGCTGTCAGTCCCACCTAGGAAAGAAAACGGCTAAAGACTGTCCTTAACCCCCTTGGTCAACTGGCATGGCGTGGTTTATCTTCATACTGCTAAGCTCCCTGAACACCCCCTCGTGTCTACGAGCAGGCTGGGTGCAATCCAGTTGTATATGGGGAACAGTCTCTTGTCTGTGTTTCCAAAACTGTTCTTTGGCATTACCTCAGAAAGCCCAGTTCGCCCAAGACAAAAGCATGCTAACCATTTATCACAGATGATGGTGGGATGCTGCTCAGGCCTGTGCCTTGGCCCTTTCTGGTTGGCATTATGAATGTAGTTACAGTCATGTAAAGTATAGCATTTATTTCTACTTGGAAACACTGATGTAGTTTCTTTCACTGGAGATTTTTCTTAACACTAGAAAGATTTGGAAGACCTGGACAAATGGTTGCTGGGCAGCTAGCTCGCTGCAGGAAATAAATACGCTAAGGAAAGTGAACTGATAGCATTTGCTAACTAACGCTCAGTGTTGAAGACAACTGAGGCATGCTTGGGGTACTAGAGAGTCTGCTGGGTACAGACTTCTGATTCCCTCTAGAGTGGGAAATGAGACCTGGCATGGATTGAAGTTACACAAGCTGATCTAATTTTCCCTTGCTGTTAATCCTTCTGTGAGGGATGACACGGTCAGTGATTGGAAGAAAATTTTCATATACCAGAATTCAGTCTGACAACATTGACAAGGCTCCAGCCTCTGTAACCAATTGCTTTTTCAAGCTTCTCTCTTGCAACTGATACCCTAGGGATACTTGCCTGGGATTTTCTGAGCTTCTGCTATCATACAATGACATAAATGTTTTACTCATGAAGTTGTAGTGTTATCCTCGTACAGGGCTTGGAGAGTTACTGATAGGGATATATTTATAAGGGTGTTTCATGGGTTGGCAATATCTTCTCTGAATTAACTCTTAAACATACAGCAGCAGTCAAACAAGCAACAGATTTCGTTTTCTGCTGTTTTCTTCAGTGGTTTGCATTATCGTGTGCTAGATGCATTAATTCATGAGATCACATTTATTTTAGACTGAATCTTTGTATGAGTGCTGTGTCCACAGCTGCCTATGAATGATATAAAGCGGGGATTATGTGAGTATACAGTTACTAGGAAGGAATACAGGTATCTTCAGCCTCCCATATACCCAACTTGCAAACTTTTTTCATTGTTTGTGTTTAAAAGTGTTGGGTGCACTACAAAAAGTTTTCAGCCCTGTTCTTGAGCTGATATTTTGTATACTTGTAACAGGAATAAGAATTATAATTGAATGAGACCAAAGTAATTGCCCACTCTGATAATGCACTGTAATCTGCTAAACTATGCTTTTAATCCTTTCAATGTGAACATGAATTTACAAAATCATCAGTCCATAGAACAGGAGTTGACATGCAAGGTTAATTATTAGTAACCTGTAGTCAGACAGAAATACTTAATGCAGATTAAATACAATGATTTTTCTGTTTATCACTCTAGAGACCAGCAAGACATCTGGGTATCTTGCCTTTATTTTCTCTGTCTTTACAAAGTACACTAATTTTGGAAAACATGTGAACATTGGAACAAAAGCATAGAAATAAAAAACTTTTGGTCAATACAAAATGGAGAAAGGAAGTAAATTATTGATAATAAAGTAACTTTGCATATAGAACGTTAAACACTAATCTATTTCTCATCTATAGTTCCCTTAAAGCTATAAAGAACCTTGAATAATAACTATGTTTAGCTTCCATCTGCTCAAGACTAGAGGCAGCATATGACTGGAACAGCTTTCTGTTTTCTTTTTGGGAACACTGGAAAAAACATTACTTCTGCACAAAAAAAATAGAATGATCAGGATCAAGGTACTTAGGACTCTGCCTTCATATTTCCAGGAAAAAAAAAATCTGCTGGTTAAATAATTCTCCACACCATCATTTCCAAACTTCTAAAGCTAGAAATTATGAAAATAAGTTGCAAAAAACTTTTATAATTGCTCTAAAGAGAATTTTTCTTCTTAATATATTTGTATTTTTTCAGATTTTGAAATTTTCTCACAACTTCAGCTTTTGATAGTTTTTGACCAAAGTTTTATAACCAAACATTTTTACAGGCTGAGGATTTTATGGTTACTATTCAGGTTTTTTTCTTGTCCTTTTCCTTCCTGTTTTGAATTATCCTCTTTAACACTCACCTCAGTTCTTTTATTTCTCCTTTACCCTTTGTTCCATTTCACTCTTGGTATGGAAGACTTGGGTAGAAGTCAAGAGAGGCTGGGCTCCCTTGGATTTGAAAAAAAAAAAAAATTGATTTTTTTGCAGGATATGGAGAACCTCAGTCCCTTAATGTGTTGCTGCATGGCAGCAGCCACATGAGAGATCCTCTTCACTTTCCCATTTCACTTACCCCTGTTCTTCATGTCGTTACTGGGGAAAGACAGCATACCTGGTAGCTCCAGAAGGGCCAGAACTTTAGAGGAAAGGACCTCCAGTGGAC